ATGAGTTATCAGGAAGTTAATAAGCTATAGCAACGGATGTGAAAATACATTACACTGTATAAAATGCAAAAATGAAGCTCCATACAATATGTTTAAGAAGGAAACTATTGACTAGTAGTTTAAATATTCTTTTTGTTAAAATATAAAGTTTAGTAGCCATTTAATTCTTTTAAATTTAAACAAGTCTGAAGTACCGGTCTGCTTGGAATATTTGCAGATGCCGTAATGACACACTTCTTTTAACATCAGTAACGGTTATAATCATACCTTTGCTGTTCCGCACTTTGGTATTTCTTGAGTTCCTTTTCCCATCTGTCATAGTATCAATATTATATATAGCATATCACCATCCTGATGCATTCTCTATTACAAATAGTTACTCAACAGTTTTATCTAAGCAATATTTTGGGTTTTTTATCAGGAACTACATGTTCTTTGTTCTTGGAAAACTTACAATGCACGGAAAAGCTGAAATTATATATAAATTAGGTAATAATTATGATAAGACACAATCAGCTTTTTAAATGTTCATACATGGTAACTTTTTGAAACAATATTTGGATATTAAATTTCAGTTTTTGTCTTGCCAGAGTGTCCAATATTAGTGCTGTAGTATGTATATTGCTGACTTGTACTCTTTTTTGGAATGAGAACAAGAGGCTCTAAATAGCCTGTGTCGCTCACCTTTGTCTATATGCATATTCAACAAAGGACACTCTCCAACATTATAGACGAGAATAGAATTCATTTCATGACAAAAATCTGTTTTGCTGATCTTGAATTGCTAATCATTTAGTCTGTTTAGTTTCTCTCTACCTTCATTAGTTTTTTCTCAAAACACAAAAGAAGGTGAAAAATATCCTAATTTAAGGACAATCACTCCTATAAAGAGTGACAGTCTGCTTACTGTATTGGCAAAATTTGACTTGTTAGTAGATCTTGTCTTGCTGATCATGTTTGCTTATTTAAGTTTCTATCTATCAATTATAATTTTTATCATTTAAGGCAAAATGCCAAAAAAATGATAAAAATTGTCATTAAAGGGCAGTAACTCCAATAAGGAGTTGTCGAACAATTTTAACCATTTGTCTTTATTGTAGATCTTGTCTTACTGATCATTTTTGCTTATTTAAGTTTCTATCTATCTATTATAATTTTTAAGATATAAGGCAAAAACGCAATAAAAGTAAAAATTTTCATTTAAGGGCAATAACTCTAATAAGGAGTCGACTGAAGATTTTAACCATTAGATTTTTTTGTAGAACTTGTCTTGCTGTTCATTTTGGCAATTTAAAGTTTCTCTCTATCTATTATAGTTTTCAATATAATAGGCAAAAATGAAAAAAATAATTTTGTCATTTAAGGGCAATAACTCCTTACAGTATTGACTTATATGCACAATTGGAAAAGCTCAAAATGCTGAACATTCTTGCCCTCATAAGATTTTCTCTTATAACGGTTTTCAAAATAATAGACAAAACTTGCATTTTACCCCTATGTTCTATTTTTAGCCATGTCGGTCATCTTGGTTGGCAGGCAGGGTCATTGGACACATTTTTAAACTAGATACTCCAATGATGATTGTGACCAAGCTTGGTTAAATTTGGCCCAGTAGTTTCAGAGGAGAAATTTTTTGTAAAAGTTTACAGACGACGACGGACGCCAAGTTATGAGAAAAGCTCACTTGGCCCTTTGGGCCAGGTGAGCTAAAAAAAAACTTGATACTTGCACTACACTAACGACAGTAACAGTGCTGTTCATCTATATGATGAAAATTATGAGTTTTGTGTTATAATCACGATTGATCTTTAAAAATGCCAAGTGTTCTTTGTATTATCATTTTTTTTCGACTTTGCCATATAAGGGGAGATAACTCGTATAATACAGGGATGGATATTAACAAGGGGCGACTAGCCCATGGCCCTTAAATTACAGCTGGACAACTAAATTTTTCTACATTTTTGATTGAACATTTAAGAGGCCATGTCAATAAGCAACGAGCTTTGTACTGTACAAACCTTGAATGTGCATAAATTTAGATTCAGTTTAAAAGCCACAGAAAAAATAAGCTTAGCTAAGATAGACGAAGGATACAAAAGAGATAATCAATGAACTGACTGGTTTTGCTCATTGTTGAAGGCTGTACGGTGTCTTTAGTTGTAAACTTCTATGTCATTTGGTCTCTGGTGGCGAGTTTTCTCATTGGCAATAATACCACACCTTCTTATTTTTATATGGACAATGCTTTGACAAAAAAAACTACCAAAAGAAACACAACAGTATACAAAACACAACATAGAAAACTGAAGACTTAGCAACACAAATCCCACCAAAAACCAGGGATGATCTCAGGAGCTTCAGAAGGGTAACCAGATCCTGCTCTACATGCAAAACCCGTCACGTTACTCCTATACAATACGTTAATAAGTTATATCATTGTGATTTAGCATCACACAATAGAGGATTGGTAATTGACTCATGACAACAGATGAAAATCAGTAGTCAATGCGCAAAACCTCCCCTCCCCAAGAAAATCAAATGGTCGTCCCCCAATGTCTAAATATTAATGAAATCTTTTTAGGCAGACTAAGTATTTGCAGTTTTTACACAAAATGCAAGGAGTTTGAAGCCCTAGTGTAACTATGTAAGAAAAAATATAAAAATATAAATACTGATGATTGGTAGTTGGATAGTCTAATGCCCTGTGAACATTTAAGGCCGGTGTCATATGGAAAATTGCATGAACCCCCTGGAAATTGAACCCGTGATCAAAATCCCATCTTCATCAATCCCTAACTATGGCTGAAAGAATATTTGATGGATCCACTATTCATTTTATAGTCCCCAATTGATGTTAGCAGAAGTTGATAAACTGTTAGAGTATACTTTGATTTTAAGCTGCGCATATTAAACTAAAAGGCTTCATGTATAATTGACACAATTTTATCTGACCAGTGACAAATTAGCATTGGCAAGACATACTTGTGTGTCCAAAATGGTAGTTGGGGAATATAATGCACAAAACCAAAATATTCTTTCAAAAATTATAAAGCTAAATTCAGTGAATATATTATGTCAAAAGATATAACCCAGTAACTAAATGTTTGTCCCGATTTCAGACTAGCAATTGCTGTGTTGTGACTTTTAACATAGCACATTCAAAATCAGTAGAGGTTTTCTTCACTCCATAGGGCAGTGTCACACCAAATGCGGTTAAAAACAAGCAAATGGTTCAGATAATAACATTTGGAAACCATAATTTCTCATAAATTTCCTGTTGCATTAATGAAATAATTGACCAAAAATAAAAAACTGAATTTAACATGGCCTCTAAAAAATGGACAAAATGAAAACAGCAAAAATGTTCATCAAAGTAAGATTTTCAAAATTGTTAACTTTACAGTAATATTCAACTACCTGCTTATACAAGATATTGCCCTTGAAAGATGACTTTACTGGGTTTTTTTCTCCCAAAATTTAGAATGGCATGTTTAAATACACATTTAATTAATAAGCATTAACTAACTATAAAAAATAATCATTGATGAAAGATTTACACAAAAAATGACAGGTGAATAATTCAGGCTCTCAAAAGACTATATTACAATATAGTCTTTGCATACAATTTACACCACATATGTTGGTTGCTATGCAATAAGCAGTGTTGCTTTAGAGATTTTTTAAATATCATTATGCATAATTGATCTTCTTTTGTTATTTTTGTTTTTATTCAGGCTTTTTTTTTCCAAATTGTGCTTGTTATCCATGAATTGAGCTTGGTTATTTTCAAATTTCAGTTGGTTACTAGGCATTTATGTCATGAATGTAGTGTCACTAAGGAGATTTTCGCATATCTTTAAGCATAATTCGACTGCTTTGGTTTTTTTTTATTTCCAATCAGGCTTCAAGTGCATATTTTTGAGCATTTTGTTAAAAATCAACATTGTATATTTTCAGCCTCAGTTGGTTGCTATGCAAAACATATGGTTGCTATGGAGATTTTATGCATATTTTTCTACTCAGTTGAAAACGCTTTTGTGTGACATTTGTTTTGCAGTACAAATTAAATCATAAGTGTAAAAAAATTTATAATATTGACCCTAAAAGGTGACAATAATTCTAGTTTTTAACACTTGGCCACTAAAAATATTAGCTGGGCAATCACTTGAAAATTTTAATTTCCATCCCTGTAATATTAATATTTTAATTTCTAATTCATAAAGTCATGTGAAGAGAATTTACCTTTTTCGTTTAGAAGCAAAACTAGAGGCTCTCAAGAGCCTGTGTAGCTCACCTGTATTTACTGATGCTTTGGAAATTATATAAAATAAGGTTAAAATCATAATTAATAGTATTAAATGTATTATTATAATGATATCTAAGATAATAACAAAAAACTGCAAAATTTCTGTAAAATTACTAACTCAGGGGCAGCAACCCAACAACGGGTTGTTGGATTCGTCTGAAAATTTCAAGGCACATAAATCTAAATCTGATGAACATTTTTGCCACCTATCAGATTTTCTCTAAATGCTTCAGTTTCAGAGATATAAACCAATAAAATGCTTCGCTGGGGCGCAGCTTGATACGACCGCAGAGGTCGAACCCTGAACAGTTGGGGCAAGTATGGACACAACATTCAAGCTTGATACAGCTCTGAATTTGGATTGTTATTAAATATTTGACACAGCATAGGTTTCTGACACAGAAAGAATGTGGTCTAAGAACTTGATTTTTTTTAATTTACCTATTATGGTCCAATGTCCAAAATCAAAATACATGGTTAGATTCAGCATATCAAAGAACCCCTTTTATTCAATTTTTGTTAAAATCAAACAAAGTTTAATTTTGGACCCCAACTTGGACAAACTTGAAAACTGGGCCCATAATCAAAAATCTAAACACATGTTTAGATTCAGCATATCAAATAACCCCAAGAATTCAATTTTTGCTAAAATCAAACTAAGTTTAATTTTGGACCCTTTGGACCTTAATGTAGACCAATTTAAAAAACGGGACTTTAAATTAAAAATCTAAATACACGGTTAGATTTGGAATATCAAAGAACCCCAATAATTCAATTTTTGATGAAATCAAACAAAGTTTAATTTTGGACCCTTTTGACCTCAATATGAACCAATTTGATAGCGGGGCCCACAAATAAAAAATCTAAATTCATGGTTAGATTCAGCATATCAAAGAACCCCATATATTCAATTTTTGTTGAAATCAAAAAAAGTTTAATTTTGGACCCCAACTTGGACCAACTTGAAAACTGGGCCCATAATCAAAAATGTAAACACATGTTTAGATTCAGCATATCAAAGAACCCCAAGAATTCAATTTTTGTTAAAATCAAACTAAGTTTAATTTTGGACCCTTTGGACCTCAATGAAGACCAATTTAAAAAACGGGACCCAAATTAAAAATCTAAAAACAAGGTTAGATTTGGCATATCAAAGAACCCCAATAATTCAATTTTTGATAAAATCAAACAAAGTTTAATTTTGGACCCTTTTGACCTCAATATGAACAAATTTGATAGCGGGGCCTACAAATAAAAAATCTAAATACATGGTTAGATTCAGCATATCAAAGAACCTCATATATTCAATTTTTGTTGAAATCAAACAAAGTTTAACTTTGGACCCCAATTTGGACCAACTTGAAAACTGGGCCCATAATCAAAAATCTAAATACATGTTTAGATTCAGCATATCAAAGAACCTCATGTATTCAATTTTTGTTGAAATCAAACAAAGTTTAAATACTGGACCCTATCTTGGACCAACTTGAAAACTGGGCCCATAATCAAAAATCTAAACACATGTTTAGATTCAGCATATCAAAGAACCCCAAGAATTCAATTTTTGTTAAAATCAAACTAAGTTTAATTTTGGACCCTTTGGACCTTAATGTAGACCAATTTAAAAAACGGGACCCAAAATTAAAAATCTAAATACACCGTTGGATTCGGCATAACAAATAAATAAATGTGATCAACGATTTTACAAATCTAATGCGCCATACTGTGCAATTAAAGATTTCTTCTTGAAATTTTTCAATATTTGAAATTTGAAAAAAAATAATATTTGAAGAATAATTTTTTTAATTTCTGAAATCTGAAATGAGAAAAAATTGACCCCCCACAATTTCTTTTTATCCCCCGGTCTATGTGCATATTAAACAAAGGACACAGGTGGATTCATAACAAATTGTGTTTTGGTGATGGTGATGTGTTTGTAGATCTTACTTTACTGAACATTCTTGATGCTTACAATTATCTCTATCTATAATGAACTTGGCCCTGTAGTTTCAGTGGAAATTATTTTGTAAAAATTTACAAAATTTATGAAAATTGTTAAAAATTTATTATAAAGGGCAATAACTCCTTAAGGGGTCAATTGACCATTTTGGTCATGTGACTTTTTTGTAGGTCTTACTTTGCTGTACATTATTGCTCTTTACAGTTTATCTCTATAATAATATTCAAGATAATAACCAAAAGCTGAAAAAATTTCTAAAAATTACCAATTCAGGGGCAGCAACCCAACAACGGGTTGCCTGAATGGTATGAAAATTTAAGGGCAGATAGATCTTGACCTAATGAACAATTTTGTTTGTGAAAGATTTGCTAGAAATGCTTTGGGTTTAGATATATGAGCCAAAAACTGCATTTTACCCTATGTACTATTATTAGCCATGTCGGCCATCTTGGTTTGAGGGCGGGGTCATCAAACACAATTTTTAAACTACATACCCTAATGATGATTGTTTACAACTTTAGTTAAATTCATCTTAGTAGTTTCAGAGGAGAAGATTTTTGTAAAAGATAACAAAAATTTACGAAAAATTGTTAAAAATTGACTATAAAAGAGCAATAACTCCTTAAGGGGTCAACTGACCATTTTGGTCATGTTGACTTATTTGTAGAACTTACTTTGCTGAACATTATTGCTGTTTACAGTTTATCTCTATCTATAATAATATTCAAGATAATAACCAAATAAGGCAAAATTTCCTTAAAATTACTAATTCAGGGGCAGCAACCTAACAACGGGTTGTCTGATTCATCTGAAAATTTCAGGGCAGATAGATCTTGAGCTAATAAACATTTATACCCTTTGTCAGATTTGCTCTCAATGCTTTGGTTTCAGAGATATAAGCCAAAATCTACATTTTATCCCTATGTTCTATTTTTAGCCATGGCAGCCATCTTGGTTAGTTGGCCGGTTCACCAGACACATTTTTTAAACTAGATACCCTAATGATGATATTGGCCAAGTTTGGTTAAATTTGGCCCAGTAGTTTCAGAGGAGAAGATTTTTGTAAAAGTTTACGGACGAAGGACGACGGACGCAGGACGACGGTCGACGGACGCCAAGTGATGAGAAAAGCTCACTTGGCCCTTTGGGCCAGGTGAGCTAAAAAACAAGTTGCATGAGCACAATTTTTTATTTTTATTTTCTTAAAGGGCATTTTTAGAACGATCTCATATTTTATCTATTCTATAAATACATCCAGATATATTATAACATGGTTTTCAGTTGTTTTATATTAAATACCTTGTATTCAGGGTACTCTACAGTGCAGGGTACTTTACAATGCAGATCAAAGGAAAATATGTGGCAAAATTTTTAACAAACTTTTATAAACATACTCTTTCCAAATAATAAGCAGTATACAAGACATCAAAAATAAAATAAAAATAAGAGTGAAAGGACCCAGGGCAAACAGTTAGGGATTTTCTGTTTTGAATTTTCCTCAGAGTTCGATATTTTTGTTATTTTTTACTTTTTTATAAGGGCGCACGGACCCAGGGCGAACAAGTATTAGGGCGAATATGTACTAGGGCGAACGGAATTCGAGTGGTGGTGGTGCAATTGTGTGTATAAAGAAGAATTCTATATTAAATAGAAGTGCCATAAATTCAAAAGCAAGGGATACTTTTTCCTAGCTTAACTGAAGTGGTTTATCTGATAAAGGTGGAATTTACAGAATATGTAACAGGTATAACTGACACTAAGACAACAATATATTAAAATGGTCATTACTAATTGACAAGCAATTTCCGCACGGTAGGTTGGTATGAGAGTCTCAGAGAGACATTCTGACACTGCAACTAAGACCAGATACACATTTTTATTTTATGCAGTCTCAGGTTTTAAAATTACTGGCGATCCTTTTTTCACTTGGTCTAAATCTTACCACGTAAATTCGTTTACTCTCTTATGGAATTGCAATTTAATGTAGGTTTTGTTTGTTTCAAAATAAACTGTTTTTCCTTATAAAATATTTCAATCTTGCAATCAGCATGATCAACCAAATCTTGCAATCAGCCATTCTTCGTGTTGACAGACGACGCGAGTACGAATCGCAATCTGTCAGCAAAGTTCTAAATGCACATAAAATAGTCCGCTGTCGAGATTTGAATACTTTTGAGAATGACAAGACATTTCATCGTTCCTTATAGAACAAAATATAAATCAATACACGTTTTTATTTTATTGATCTTGCTAGGGATGTTTCTACTTAAATGTTAATGTAGTAATCTTCCCTAACCTTTCCGTACGAAAGGAGAGCTACGTAAAGACGCAATGAACCAGAAACAGATGAGGAAGGAATTTCATGTGTTATTTGGTAACGTAACATGCATACAACTTAAATTTTCTCCGTTAAAAGTCACTTGCTATTATTGCTTTTTCAACACTGTCTTTCAGGAAACTCGCATTAAAATAGCGAAAAAACGAGGTATTGAAAAAAGGGGGAAGTACTCTCAACTGTCAACAGATTCCGGGACCGTTCGCCCTGATATTTATTTTATTTTGCTGTCATGTTGTGAACGTAAATTAATTAAATTAAATATGTGGAAGTTTGTTGAAAATTTCGCCGAATATTTATGTGGTTTTGCTGCTACCAGATAATTATTTTTCTAGACTAGAGTGGGTGGCGCATATTCGCCTTGGACACATTTTCGCCGTTTTGCTATTTTTTCTGTAAAATTTGTGTGCCTTTACCCAATACTTCCCTGAATAGATGGTAAAGGCTGTTTGTAATGTTACAACTGTTGATATTCCTCTTTTCCCCATTTCCAAGGTTATTCGTACATATTGAGAAATACGCAGGTGTTTTTAAATGATTTTGGCAATTATGTAAGATTTATATGGCAATCATGCGCAATCTTAAAGTATATATTTGTGAGAAAAATCGTATAGGAATGATCTCTCAAGCTAATTCATGTAATTGCAAACATTCGTTTTTATACGACCGCAAAAAAATTTTTGTGGTCGTATATTGGTATGACGTTGGCGTCGTCGTCGTCGTCGTCGTCGTCGTCGTCGTCTGGCGTCGTCCGGCGTCGTCCGAAGACACATTGGTTTTCGCACTCTAACTTTAGTTTAAGTGAATGGATCTCTATGAAATTTTACCACAAGGTTCAATACCACAAAAGAAAGGTTGGGATTGATTTTGGGGGTTATGGTACTAACAGTAAAGGAAAAAGGGGCCAAAAATAAGCATTTTTGTAACTTCCAGACATAACTTGTGTATTAGTGTATGGATCTCTGTGACATTGTACCACAAGGTTCCATATCACAAAAGGAATGCTGGGATTGATTTTGGGGGTAATTGCCTCAAAATTTTAGGAATTAGGGGCCAAAAAAGGGGCAAAAAACAAGCATTTTTCTAGTTTCATGACAATAACTTGTGTGTAAGTGTATGGATCTTTCTGAAATTGTACTACAAGGTTCCATATCACAAAGGGAAAGCTGGAATTGAGTTTGGGGGTAATTGCCGAAACGTTTAGGAATTGGGGGCCAAAAAGGGGCCAAAAAGAAGCATTTTTCTAGTTTCCAGACAATAACTTGTGTTCAAGTGTATGGATCTCTCTGAAATTGTACTGCAAGGTACCATACCACAAAGGGAAGGCTGGGATTGATGATGGGGGTAATTGCCTCAATATTTTAGGAATTAGGGGCCAGAAAGGGGCAAAAAACAAGCATTTTTCTAGTTTCAGGACAATAACTTGTGTGTAAGTGTATGGATCTTTCTGAAATTGTACTACAAGGTTCCATATCACAAAGGGAAAGCTGGGTTTGAGTTTGGGGGTAATTGCCCTAAACGTTTAGGAATTTGGGGCCAAAAAACACATTTTTCTAGTTTCCAGACAATAACTTGTGTTCAAGTTTATGGATCTCTCTGAAATTGTACTGCAAGGTACCATACCACAAAGGGAAGGCTGGGATTGAGTTTGGGGGTGATGAATCATAAGGGGGTTCAAAAAATTTGGGGGGGGGGGGGGGGGGTTTTCCTTTTTTTTTTCTTTTAAAATTTTCCATTTTAAGTTGGTTATTTCTGATTTATATTTAAAAGCAAATAGTAATGATATGGTAGGAGATACACACCAAACAGGATGTGTAAATTATTATATAATAAGTATTGTGCAATAGCAAGAAATTTTCAATTGCACAGTATTGCACAATAGCAAGAAATCTTCAATTGAACAGTATTGTGCAATAGCAAGAAATCTTCAATTGCACAGTATTGCGCAATAGCAAGAAATATCCAATAGCACAATATTGCGCAATAGCAAGAAATTGTCAATTGTACAGTATTGCGCAATAGCAAGAAATATTTAATTGCACAGTATTGTGCAAAAGAAGATACTTCGTATAAATTGCTTATTTCTTGACCAATTTCAATGGGGTTTTATTCTTGAATTCTTGGGGTTCTTTAATATGCTGAATCTAACCGTGTATTTAGTTTTTGGATTTTGGGCCCCGTTTTTAAATTGGTCCACATTGAGGTCAAAAGGGTCCAAAATTAAACTTTGTTTGATTTCATCAAAAATTGAATTCTTGGGGTTCTTTAATATGCTGAATCTAACCGTGTATTTAGTTTTTGGATTTTGGGCCCCGTTTTTAAATTGGTCCACATTGAGGTCAAAAGGGTCCAAAATTAAACTTAGTTTGATTTTAACAAAAATTGAATTCTTAGGGTTCTTTGATATGCTGAATCTAAACATGTATTTAGATTTTTGATTATGGGCCCAGTTTTCAAGTTGGTCCAAATCGGGGTCCAAAATTAAACTTTGTTTGATTTCAACAAAAATTGAATATATGGGGTTCTTTGATATGCTGAATCTAACCATGTACTTAGATTTTTGATTTTTGGGCCCCGTTATCAACTTTGTCCACATTGAGGTAAAAAGGGTCCAAAATTAAACTTTGTTTGATTTCATCAAAAATTGAATTCTTGGGGTTCTTTGATATGCTGAATCTAACCATGTATTTAGATTTTGGAAATTGGACCATAATAGGTGAATGTCCAATTTAAAATTTTTAAGTTCTTAGACCACATTCATTCTGTGTCAGAAACCTATGCTGTGTCAAATATTTAATCACAATCCAAATGCAAAGCTGTATCAAGCTTGAATGTTGTGTCCATACTTGCCCCAACTGTTCAGGGTTCGACCTCTGCGTCCTATCAAGCTGCGCCCTGCAGAGCATTTTATTATAATAAAACCAGGATAATGAGGATGGTCATATCATACATTGCGGCGAAAATGTGTCCCCCATGGTACACAAACAACTTGATTTCCTCTTGAGTTTGCGTTCGTTTTTAGAAAAGTTAACCAATGTTTTGAAGATAATTTCTTTATCAAACATTTTTTTCATATAGTTAAATTTCTGAAACCTTCATAAAAAGTTCCAAATATTCGAATGTAGGTCGGATGTAAGTGGAAATGAACGAATTATGCGGCCAATATGGGTCTCTCACTCTACATGTATATAAGGTGATAGGACGTGCCGCTGGAATAGGCCATATTTTCTAGCTTGAAAATATGTGAATAGGTGGTGAAAATTATCAGAAATATATATTATGAGGTCAACAAATAAAAAAAAAGAAATGAAGACGTGGTATGATTGCCAATGAGACAACTCTACACAAGAGAAGTTAACAACTGTAGGTCACCGTACGGCCTTCACCAATGAGCAAAACCCATACAGCAAGTTCCCATTACTTGTTATAAATTTGTATGAAAAGCCCTTTAATTTTTTCACAGCCAAATGTTTTGCCGTAAGTAAATATTACATAAGGAATCTGAAGGTGTTATTCCACTTTTCCAACACACCACAAGAAATTCAACCAGTATGGGAAAAGGTTACATTTTTACCTAATCAATATATGAAAAGGTATACATTTTCAAAATCTAAATTAATTATATGAAAAGGTTGGGGTAACAGAACCCCAGCTACACCCCTATCATATTAACTCCCCCCCATCCCCCCCAAAAAAATCAAATGGTCGTCCCCTAAATGAACATAATGTCACATCATTGGTTGAATTTCCATTATTTAGGAAATATATAACCAATCAAGAGGTCTTGGTGTACGCTTTTCAGAATATTACCAAAAATGCATTAGGTTCTGAAACAGGGAATTGGGAGTATTACATTGTATGTTGTGATCCCAGCTGATATCAGAAACATATTACATGAATATTATTTTGGTGAATGAGGTCTTTTTAAAAAAAGTTGAAAAATTTTACGAAAACATAAAATAAAAAAAAATAAAAAGCAATTTTGTAACAATATGTAGCTATATAGTGATGAATTATATTTTGATTGAATTGAAAGATGCAAAATTGGAATAAAAATGTTTTTATAAGTATTATGATATACCATACTCTTTAAAAGTCAATTTCAAGAAGGATTTGACAACTTTTAGATTTTTCTTACAAGTGAAACAAATATAGGGGAAACTAAACCTACATGAGTTTATCTACATGTACCTTTTTATTGGTGTACACACCACAATTTTTTATGAGATCCCTCAAACACATAGAAACTACCAGATTTTTGACGACATATCATGTTTGAAGGTAAATCCAGAAAATCCCTTCTGACATTTTAAATTAATTGAGTGTTATTTTACATTTTGCATTAAATTTGCCTTCAATCAAGCACATGGCACAACCATTTAGGAAACTGTTTGAAAACAGCACAGCCAAAAAAAAATTATAAAGCCTTACAGTAGCAGATTAACAAGACTGCATTGTATTGAAGGGATTTTAGATGACTCAAATACTGCAATTTACCCCTGTCTATCAGTGTGTCCTGTTCGTCTGTCCCATGAAATTTTGGAAGTATAAATAGTCAGTGCCCTTTGGCTGTTTTTTGCTCTTTGGTTGTGTTGTTGTCTCTTTGTCACATTCCTCATGTCCATTCTCAATTTTATTTGTCTGTTTGTTCCAAAAACATCAAAAGAAAACTTGGAAACTGGTTTACAACTTGACAGAAAGCTTGCATGCTTGTAAGGATTATTTGTCATCATATTCTGTTGACCATACTTTTTAACAGTCAGTATAAATTTAAAAATTTTGAATAAAATATTGTTTAAATTAAACTTGGGCCAAAAATACTTTTGTTTCCTGCCTCCATATCTACCCTTACACATGATGTTGTGGATATTTTGGTGAGACCCGGTTCTTTTCACCTGACCTAGACCTCCTTTCATGGATACATTTTGTAAGTGATCAAAGTTAAAATTACTTGATTTTTAGGTCCGTTTCTCAAATACTGTAAGCAAAAGTTCAACTATGAGTAGTTTATGGAATGATTGTAAAGTGTACATGTTAGTCGGGCAGGTTTCATCTTACTTAACCTCATTTTGATGGTTCATTGTTCAATGTTAAGTTTTTCTGTTTTGGTCAGTTTTTATGCCCCACTTAGGGGCATTATGTTTTTCGGTCTGTGTGTCTGTTTGTCCGTCCATTTGTCCGTCTATCCCGCTTCAGGTTAAAGTTTTTGGTCAACTCGCAGGCAGGTATCATCTGTGGCTCTGCCTTTGACCTCATTTCCATTGTTCATTGGCCAGTATTAAGTTTCTGTAGTTTGGTCCTTTTCTCAGATTCTATAAGTAATAAGTTAACTATATTTGGTGTATGGAGTGATTGTAAGATGTACATATCTTTCTGGCAGGGTTCATCTAACCTTCACCTCATTATCATGGTATGATTGCCAATGAAACAACTATCCACCAAAGTTCAAATGAAGAGGATGTAAGCAATTATCATGATTATAGGCAACCGTACAGCCTTCGTCAATGAGAAAAATCCATACTGTATAGTCCGCGGTGAACGGTCCAGACATGAAAAATATGAAACAATTCAATTGAACAAACTAAAGGCCTAATTTGTAACAAAACAATCAAGTACTAAAAACAAATCTGACAGACATGAACCAACGACAACCACTGAACTACATGCTCGTGACTTAGGACAGGCACATAAAGAATGTGGCAGGGTCTGAACTTGACCTTATTGTCGTAAATAATTGATAATGTTAAGTTTATGTGATACTTGTAGTAAAAACTTTATCTTTAAGGCTTTCAACATTAAGTCAATCATGGTCAGTAGAGCAGACAAGACATGAACGTGTGCACTCAGACTCTCAAATAGTCTATGTAAAATATAAAAAACATCATTTTACCTTCTCTTTTTTTACTGCCAGATAAAGCAGGAATTAAGTATATTAATTGTGTATTGGAAACACTGTACCTGGAATGAAATTCACACTATTTATTTTTCCTTGTAGATGTTGCAGAAAATACAAATGATGCCAAAGAAGAAATGAGAAAAGGAACTTGGACTGCACCTTTTTCTTTGCAGCTCTTAAGGTGAAGTATTGTGCAATAAAACATTTATATAAATGTTTATATAAAAATAAGAAGATGTGGTATGATTGTAAATGAAAAAACTCCCTCAACCAAAGACCAAAATTAACAACTATAGGTAACCGTACTGCCTTCAACAATGAGCTATATAAGGCCTTGAAATGACCAATGTGAAACAATTCTAATGAGAAACCTACGGCCTGATATATCTACAAAACATTAAACGAAAACCTAATATGATATACAGCAACAAACCACTGAATTACAAGCTCCTGATTAGGGACAGGCACATGGAGTATGTAAAAACATTAAAAATGTTTGCTGGCACCAAACCCTCCTAACTAGGACAGTGGTGTAACAGTACAACTTACAAACTATAAAAATCAGTTGAAAAGGGCTTAATTCTTTAGACCAATACAAAGCACAGAAAAAAATCCTAACAAAAACACACAAAGTACAGATCAGAGAGTACTATTAAACAGTTACCGAAAGCAAGTTCAATTGGTCAATATTTTATCCATGTCCTAACACAATCCGCTGAATTTCTCTAAATAGTTAACCTAGACCTACAAATGTATGGTTAAGGCCATCACTTGATGTCATCTGTTGTTGGAAATTAAACAAATAACGACTTCTCTGAAACCAACAGATCAATTTCAACCAAACTTGTGCTGAATGATCCTTAGTGTCTTGTACAAGTTTGTGTTCTTTAATTTGAACATGTAAAACAATGAGCACAGAAAAATGGCTAACATAATGACAGGAAACAAAGTTAAAATGCAAGTAATTGTCAAACATATTGAAAATCACAAATGATTAGGAAAAACTTGTATGTCATTTTCATGCAATAATTTGAGAACTGTTCAACCAATGGTTTTCTAATTCTTATATGTTCTGACTGATAACAAAGTTGAGGTCAAGTTCTATAAAGAAGATTTTCACTTTTGTCGTTCTAGAGTTATTTCCCTTCATTGCTTTTACAATGACACTAATAAATGTAATAAAACTTTGTTTGCTGTCATTTTTACAGCCTACTGTTTATAATAGCTCACCTTGACCAAAGGGTCAAGTGAGCTTTTCTAATCACTTGGCGTCCGTTGTCGTTAACTTTTACAAAAATCTTCTCCTGTGAAACTACTAAACCAAATGTAACCAAACTTGTCCACAATCATCATTGAGGTATCTAGTTTAAAAAATGTGTCTGATGACCCCACCTGCCAACCAAGATGGCAGACATTGCTAAAAATAGAACATAGGGCCATTAAATGCAAGTTTTGTCTATTATTTTGAAAACCGTTATGTAAAGATAAAATCTGACTATGACGTAAATATTCAAGATGTTGAGCTCTAACATTTGTTCATTGACGTCAAAACTGTCAGGCGACTTCTTGTAGGAGTTTTTGCCCTTAAATGACAAATTTTACCATTTATTTTCATTTTTGCCTTTTATCTTGAGAACTATAATAGATGGAGAGAAACTTTTAAGTTGCAAAAATGATCAACAAGACCAGATCTACAAATACATATGCATGATCGAAATTGTCAGGCAACTCCTAATTATTTAAATTAGCCACAGAGTTTTTTGTATGGTCTAGTTTTAATTGTGCTTTTATTGTAGATCTAGGAGGTGAATTTCCTTCTGTTGAGGAGTCAGAAATTTAGACTGTCCTGAAGATGAGGGATATTAAATGAAGGTAAACATAACTTTAAAGTAATGTTTATATTGGTAATAACCTCAAGTATGCATCAAGGATGTATTGGGTAAGATGGTAATTACTGTATGTGAAACAATAAAATGTGTTCAAAGTGGGCAGTACCTGTAACATACCATCAAAATTAGCATAGCCAAAAATGCAATCGCTTCTTAAGTTTAAGTTACAGAGATCAAAGGCCCATGTGATCAGCATCATTTGTTGTTGATGGGTTTTATACTATGTTGTCATAAACTTTTAAAAAAATCTTAAATCATTTATACCATTCCCAAGTTATGGTACTTGATTGTTAGAAAATAATCGTAATTTTTGTTTTCTATAAACAAATTCCTAAAGCAGAGATGCAGATACATTTTTTTCCCTGTCAGACATAGGGCCTGCAAGGTAGACAGTTTTGACAGACCTATCAACTGTTTGCCAGACCTACATTTTTTACCATTTTTTCTTCCTTTTTATCGGCTTTTTATACAGTTAAAACAAACAAGATAGGATGTCTTTATAGTGACTGCTGCTTCAGTGGATATCTTCATTCTTGCCCAAGTTTTTAGGAGATTATAAACATTCGTTTTTATAACATGTATGATATATATATACTACATAATACATTACAACTAATTTAAATCATTCTTCAAAAACATATTTTGAAATTATTAAAGTAGCTATTTTGTTTGTTCATTCTGCTCAAATTCAAAGTTGGATTCATAACATTCTCAGTTGCAACGTAGGTTAACCAAGGACGACCCTCCTTCCATTTGGGGTTGAACTACAGCTTGGGTCGTTTTTCCTTTTCATAAGCTACCAGCTTCACTTTGGTGTTTTCTCTTGCATTACTATTTTTATCACTTAAAACAAGATTAGATTGTTTTTTACCAGGTTTAGACCCCTCCTTAAATTTAATTGGCCATTCAGCCATGCTATTTGAAACAAGAGTAATATACTAAATATTTTTACCGGAGAAGAAATTTGAAAAAATTCAGATATGAACTGGTTCCCCAGATTAAGTGAAAGAGACGGGAAGTATTTGTGTAAAAAAGCTTTGATCAATGCAAATAATTAATGTTTTCAAATCAGAAAATTATCAATATATAGTACAGATATGTTTAAGGATGTACTTAGGTGAAGTTTAGTAATTTGTGTCAGATGTTCAGACTCCTTGATTTTTTTCCTACGATACAGGGTAAAATATTTTGCCCATAACACCCATTTTTTTTTTCAAATAAGACTACAATAGCTCATAAAAGGTCATTTATCAAAATTAAACCAGATTATAGATTTCTTTTCTTTCGATTTGAGACCCAAATAATACCAATGCTTATATAAGGTAAAAGTCCGAGTCAGCGTTTTCCCGCCAATTTTTAAAACTCAAATATGTCTAAAAAGGAGCTCCATAACCTATCAATATTTTTAGCTTATTTTGTTCCTTAACTAATGCTATTTCGACTTCAAATATCAATTTTAAATTCTAGATTTTTTTAATTTCACCTAAGTACATCCTTAAATGCATCCCTTTAAAATTATTTGCCTGTTATTTAAGGAATGACTGTAATATTTTTTCTGTCTATGAAGAAATAACATAAAAAATGTGGTGCACACTGAATAACCCGCGTAGCAGGTTATTTTAAAGTGTGCACCACATTTTTATGTTATTTCGAACAGACAGAAAAAATATTACAGTCATTTCTTATAATTTAATTCTAAATTCCATTTTAAACCTGAGTAAACCATGAAAAAATGTTGATGACGTCACAGTCACATGACAAAATTATGTCTATGAGCTGATAAACAAAACGTCAGCCAATCAGAAGACGCATTACATCCAAAATTAAATTATTATAATATATTAATATTAAATCTAATAATTTTCAGATCCAATAATTTTCAATAAATCAAGGTTTTCTTAAATAAAAAACCCAGCCAAATGTTTTGAAAGTGGTGTTCAAAACTAAACAAACAATCAATCAATCCATACTGCAGCCATATACCGATTTGATGACACATTTTTTACAATTTTCAGAAACTACAAGGCTAATTTGAACCAATTTTTGCATGTCTGAATTAATTCTTTTGCTCAATTAACTATGACTGATTTTCAAAATGATCATCATGTAAAAATAAAGAGATGTGATAAGATTGCAAATGAGAACTATCTGTATGAACAATGTTAGTTCACTGGTTTGCTTTCAGCAATGAGCAAAAATGAATACCATATATATTGTAGTAAGCTATTAATAAAGGCCCCACATTATAAAATGTTAAACAATTAAAAAGTGAAAAACAGCATCCTGATTTTTGCTCAAATAACGTTTGCTTATGGAGATATCCTAAGTTAATCCCATATAGGAGTCAATAAAATCTATAGCTGATATAAAAAGTCCCTAAACTTTGTTTTAATTTGTATTGATGTTAATCATATAAAAGTTTATACATTATTGAAGTTACTGTTGATTTTGTGTATTTCAGATTATTATTGAAAAAAATAGCACCTTGAAGTACTAGAAGAATTTGAAAACAAATTAACTTGGTGAAATAGTCCTACTGGATATGACAGAACACCAAGAGAAATGGCGAAAAATTACACAACTTATCACAAGAAGATAAAAGCTTTTTGCAATTTTCAGTGGTTCTGAGATCAGTTACAGTCAAAGGAAAAAAAATACTGAACATGAATTAACGATTCATCGATCTTATGATATATCTTGATTGATATCTTAAAACATATTGACTGTAAATTAGTTACAAATTCACCAATTATATCTGTTGTTCACAAAATTTGTTATTGTTGTTAATTGGAAATATCTGTTGAATGTTTTGAAATTAAAATGTGTAAATTTAAATGATGTTCATTGAAGTCTTTAAATGATACAAAAGGAAGGATACATGGAATGATTGCCATTGAGACAACTACTTATCCTGGATAGGAGGGCAGTGATGTAAACAACTACAGTTCACCTTAAGCCTTCAACTATGTGCAAAATCCATAAGTTAAAGACAGTTATAAAAGGTCCCAAGATAATGGTACTTATACTTATACATCCTTGGCTTTCAAATTTATGGTTTGAGTGTTTCTGATGAAGGTAAATTAAAAAAAAAGCACAGCAAAACTTAATTTATAAAATGTTTTTTTTTTTAATTTCAAAAGAGAATACTACCGGGTATTTTTAATTTAAGCAAAATTTAAGCAAATAACAAAAAAAGAAAATCGATTATGGCAGACAGCAACCAAACACAACCACTGGACTTTATGATCCTGTTTTGGAGTGCTCAAACTGCTCCATAACCTGGAACTCAAAAACATCTTATACATGTATAATACTGAAAGACACAAAAGTGAAAAGTGTCTTTCTTTCAAATTATCTGCTCTTTTTTTATGTTTAAAATGTACATTGTAAAATGCATACAAGAAGTTTACTGCTATTGAGACAAAGGCAAAAATCATAGAGTTACAGAACATATTGATTACAGACATAATAACTATAAACTAAAACAACACTTACCACTACTAAATGATCAGGAACTTTCAGGAATTGATTCCAGCTTCTATCCAGGTTATGTTAAACAAATTTCCACCTCCAACTGTTCTGTTCAGTTAAGAGTTTTTACCATTGAAATGAAATGTGAATACATTCCAATCTTTTGGCAGCCATGAATGAATATTCCCTTCACAATGCGGCATTTATACATTTTCACATAGGTACCCAGGTAGCTATATGCTGATATTTGTACAGTAATGTTGTTTTTCTTAGACAATGAACAGAGAACCAGGTCATGGGTACCTATATCCGGTGGTGATGATACACAGTGAAAATGAAACATTTTTTCTTTTTTGAAAAAATTTAGCATTTAAAATTTAAAATTTTTTTTGTAAATTTTTTATTTTTTTTTTTTTTTTTGAAATTTTGAAGAAAAAAATTAATTATAAGCATTTTTTTTTTTTTTTTTGAAATTTTGAAAAATTTGATTTTTTTAGTAATTTTGCATTTAAATTTTTTTTTTTTATTTACAAATTTTTTTTTTTAGTCCAACTAAGGGGGTTAGCCATGCACGCATGGCTAAGGGTTAGTTGAACAATAATGATATATTTTATAAAGTCCAACTAAGGGGGTTAGCCATGCACGCATGGCTAAGGGTTAGTTGAACAATAATGATATATTTTATAAAGTCCAACTAAGGGGGTTAGCCATGCACGCATGGCTAAGGGTTAGTTGAACAATAATGATATATTTTATAAAGTCCAACTAAGGGGGTTAGCCATGCACGCATGGCTAAGGGTTAGTTGAACAATAATGATATATTTTATAAAGTCCAACTAAGGGGGTAAGCCATGCTTGCATGGCTAAGGGTTAGTTGAACAGTAATAATATATTTTATTAAGTCCAACTAAGGGTTAGCCATACTCAGGTTAGATCAAGGCATCAATTACAGACTTAACCATATATTTGCCTGACAATTTGAAGATAATCATATTTGTAAATAACTTCATAAAATTCATCACTTTTTTTGAATTTTATTTTATAACTAAGGCTTAGAACAACATACACCAAATCATTTCATATTCCATAATATATAATTATTCCAGATTCAATTAATTCCTTGTTTTTATAATATATCATAAGGACCTAATTAAGAGCTATGGATCCGCACCTAATAGTAAGATTGGTTAATTTATTTCATTTTATATATTTTCATGTGTATATGCTTGTATATATATTTATTTTTTATATAGGTTTCTTCAAAGAATTGATGGTAAGGTATCTTTGGAACCGTAGCTCTTAGGTCTTTACGTATAATATATCATAAGGACCTAATTAAGAGCTATGGTTCCGCACCATATAGTAAGATTGGTTGATTTATTTCATTTTATATATTTTCATGTATATTGTTATATATATATTTATTTTTTATGTAGGTTTCTGCAAAGAATTGATGGTAAGGTAGCTGCGGAACAGTAGCTCTTAGGTCTTTATAATATATCATAAGGACCTAATTAAGAGCTATGGTTCCGCACCTAATAGTAAGATTGGTTGATTTATTTCATTTTATATATTTTCATGTGTATATGGTTGTATGTATATTTATTTTTTGAATAGGTTTCTTCAAAGAATTGATGGTACGGTAACTGCGGAAAGATAGCTCTTAGGTCTTTATAATATATCATAAGGACCTAATTAAGAGCTATGGTTCCACACTTTATTGTAAGATTGGTTGATTATTTTCATTTTATGTATTTTCATGGATATTGTTGTATATATATTTATTTTTTATATAGGTTTCTTCAAAGAATTAATGGTAAGGTAGCTGTGGAACCGTAGCTCTTAAATCTTTATAATATATCATAAGGACCTAATTAAGAGCTATGGTTCCGCACCTAATAGTAAGATTGGTTGATTTATTTCATTATATATATTGTTGTATATATATTTATTTTTTATATAGGTTTCTTCAAAGAATTGATGGTAAGGTATCTGCTGAACCGTAGCTCTTAAGTCTTTACATATAATATATCATAAGGACCTAATTAAGAGCTATGGTTCCGCACCATATAGTAAGATTGGTTGATTTATTTCATTTTATATATTTTCATGTATATTTTTTATATAGGTTTCTTCAAAGAATTGATGGTAAGGTAGCTGTGGAACCGTAGCTCTTAGGTCTTTACAATATATCATAAGGACCTTATTAAGGGCTACGGTTCTGCACCTAATAGTAAGATTGGTTGATTATTTTCATTATATATTTTTTCATGGATATTGTTGTATATATATTTATTTTTTATATAGATTTCTTCAAAGAATTGATGGTAAGGTAGCTGTGGAACCGTAGCTCTTAAGTCTTTATAATATATCATAAGGACCTAATTAAGAGCTATGGTTCCGCACCTAATAGTAAGATTGGTTGATTTATTTCATTATGTATATTGTTGTATATATATTTATTTTTTATATAGGTTTCTTCAAAGAATTGATGGTAAGGTAGCTGCAGAACCGTAGCTCTTAGGTCTTTATGATATATCATAAGGACCTAATTAAGAGCTATGGTTCCGCACCTAATAGTAAGATTGGTGGATTTATTTCATTTTATATATTTTCATGGATATTGTTGTATATATATTTATTTTTTATATAGGTTTCTTCAAAGAATTGATGGTAAGGTAGCTGTGGAACCGTGGCTCTTAAGTCTTTATAATATATCATAAGGACCTAATTAAAAGCTATGATTCCGCACCTAGTAGTAAGATTGGTTGATTTATTTCATTTTATATATTTTCATGTGTATATGGTTGTATATATATTTATTTTTTATATAGGTTTCTTCAAAGAATTGATGGTAAGGTAGCTGCGGAACCGTAGCTCTTAAGTCTTTATAATATATCATAAGGACCTAATTAAGAGCTATGGTTCCGCACCTAATAGTAAGATTGGTTGATTTATTTCATTTTATACATTTTCATGTGTATATGGTTGTATATATATTTATTTTTGATATAGGTTTCTTCAAAGAATTGATGGTAAGGTAGCTGCTGAACCCTAGCTCTTAGGTCTTTATAATATACCATAAGGACCTAATTAAGAGCTATGGTTCCGCACCTAATAGTAAGATTAGTTGATTTATTTCATTTTATATATTTTCATGTATATTGTTGTATATTTATTTATTTTTCATATAGGTTTCTTCAAAGAATTGATGGTAAGGTAGCTGCGGAACCGTAGCTCTTAGGTCTTTATAATATATCATAAGGACCTAATTAAGAGCTATGGTTCCGCACCTAATAGTAAGATTGGTTGATTTATTTCATTTTATATATTTTCATGTATATTGTTGTATATATATTTATTTTTTATATAGGTTTCTTCCAAAAATTGATGGTAAGGTAACTGCAGAACCATAGCGCTTAGGTCTTTATAATATATCATAAGGACCTAATTAAGAGCTATGGATCCGCACCTAATAGTAAGATTGGTTAATTTATTTCATTTTATATATTTTCATGTGTATATGGTTGTATGTATATTTATTTTTTAAATAGGTTTCTTCAAAGAATTGATGGTACGGTAACTGCGGAACGACAGCTCTTAGGTCTTTATAATATATCATAAGGACCTAATTAAGAGCTATGGTTCCACACTTAATTGTAAGATTGGTTGATTATTTTCATTTTATATATTTTCATGGATATTGATGTATATATATTTATTTTTTATATAGGTTTCTTCAAAGAATTAATGGTAAGGTAGCTGTGGAACCGTAGCTCTTAAATCTTTATAATATATCATAAGGACCTAATTAAGAGCTATGGTTCCGCACCTAATAGTAAGATTGGTTGATTTATTTCATTATATATATTGTTGTATATATATTTATTTTTTATATAGGTTTCTTCAAAGAATTGATGGTAAGGTATCTGCTGAACCGTAGCTCTTAAGTCTTTACATATAATATATCATAAGGACCTAATTAAGAGCTATGGTTCCGCACCATATAGTAAGATTGGTTGATTTATTTCATTTTATATATTTTCATGTATATTTTTTATATAGGTTTCTTCAAAGAATTGATGGTAAGGTAGCTGTGGAACCGTAGCTCTTAGGTCTTTACAATATATCATAAGGACCTTATTAAGGGCTACGGTTCTGCACCTAATAGTAAGATTGGTTGATTATTTTCATTATATATTTTTTCATGGATATTGTTGTATATATATTTATTTTTTATATAGATTTCTTCAAAGAATTGATGGTAAGGTAGCTGTGGAACCGTAGCTCTTAAGTCTTTATAATATATCATAAGGACCTAATTAAGAGCTATGGTTCCGCACCTAATAGTAAGATTGGTTGATTTATTTCATTATGTATATTGTTGTATATATATTTATTTTTTATATAGGTTTCTTCAAAGAATTGATGGTAAGGTAGCTGCAGAACCGTAGCTCTTAGGTCTTTATGATATATCATAAGGACCTAATTAAGAGCTATGGTTCCGCACCTAATAGTAAGATTGGTGGATTTATTTCATTTTATATATTTTCATGGATATTGTTGTATATATATTTATTTTTTATATAGGTTTCTTCAAAGAATTGATGGTAAGGTAGCTGTGGAACCGTGGCTCTTAAGTCTTTATAATATATCATAAGGACCTAATTAAGAGCTATGATTCCGCACCTAGTAGTAAGATTGGTTGATTTATTTCATTTTATATATTTTCATGTGTATATGGTTGTATATATATTTATTTTTTATATAGGTTTCTTCAAAGAATTGATGGTAAGGTAGCTGCGGAACCGTAGCTCTTAAGTCTTTATAATATATCATAAGGACCTAATTAAGAGCTATGGTTCCGCACCTAATAGTAAGATTGGTTGATTTATTTCATTTTATACATTTTCATGTGTATATGGTTGTATATATATTTATTTTTGATATAGGTTTCTTCAAAGAATTGATGGTAAGGTAGCTGCTGAACCCTAGCTCTTAGGTCTTTATAATATACCATAAGGACCTAATTAAGAGCTATGGTTCCGCACCTAATAGTAAGATTAGTTGATTTATTTC